TGAATAAGTTACATCTTTATTGCTAATCTCTTTCCTTGGTCAATAAAATGATAAAAGCCTCCAGAAAACTTTTTTTTTTTCAGGTGTGATGGGAAAGGAAATTCTGACAGGGAATTGAGAAAATTGAGGAGAGAGACATTGGTTTTCAGGAGGCTCAAGTTATTGAACGTTCAGGAGCAATAGCAAAAATCAATGCACACCAATTCCGAAAGGCATGTAAACATCCTCATTTTCAATGAAGAACTCCTTGTTTTCATTCAAGAATCTCTCTGGTTTGAACTCCATTGGATCCTTCCAGTATTTTGGGTCAGTATGGATGGCATTGATCAAACCTTGGATGATTGTTCCCTGTTCAAAAAATATTAAAAATCATTGTAATTTTTGGCAAAAAAGGAAAGGAATTGTGTACCTTTGGAACACAATATCCAGCAATATCTCTCTTTTCTTCCAGTCTATGGTCTACCCAGACAGGAACAACTGAAGGTATCCTCCACATTTCATGAATGGCTGCCATGGTGTAGTGCATCCTTCACAAAAGAAAAATTATTTTTATAAATTGAAATTAAGCTGAAATAAATTGAAATTCAGTTGTAATAAATTGAAGACAGCTAAAATAAATTGGCATTCAGACCAAAAATCAATTTATAAGAGCTTTGAGGCAAGGAGTTAGCTGAAAATGGTTCCACCAATTTTAGAAATTAAATACTACGGCCAAAAAGTTTTGGTTACAAAAATAATTCGTTCATTGTTTATTTCATCAACATAGAAAGTTCAAACATTGAAAATGCTGCATATGTCTGCATGTGTGTCTGCATGTAGAACCTAAATACGTGAAGATTTAATTTTATTTCAAATTATAAAGTTGCTCTTTTCAGTCATTTATTTTTCCCCAAATATTCTGTCCTTCATTGCCAGAAAAGCTCAACTTACATAGGTTCAGAGGCAACACATTTGGAGTTACGGAGGTTCAGGTTAAACTACTGTATTTTCAAAGAAGTATGGACAGGGACAAAATAAAAATTTCAATGAGAGGTTTTTGAACTTGGGGTACATTTGAGTTAGGCATGTTTATTTATGTGTGCAGGAAATGACTCAATTTTAGTTACTTCGAATGATCTGCCCATTCAGGGGTTCCATGGCCAATCACAGCATCAATTTCTTCACGGATTTTCTCCTGGACCTCTGGATGTTGAACCATGTACAGAAAGAACCACCTGAGTCCAATTGCTGTGGTCTCAGCTCCAGCCATAATCAGGTCAATCAGAACAGCCAGCAAATTTTGATCTGGACATATAAACACAATTTTCAAACCACAGACATATACTAGAATAACTTATTGAAAAAAAA